TTAAGTAGGTAGGTACCTAGTTGAAAAATTCGAATATATTTCAAAATGTTCAACAAACTATGCATTAATTTGTTACGCTGAACAGCCTTAACAACAAATGGATTTATTTTATATTTAAAACTAATTTTAACATTTAAACAAGTTCCTAGATGTTTCTTAAAATTTCTATTCAAAAAGTTAAAAGTCAATTTGGATAATTTTGATATACCTTTTTATAAATTCAGTATAATATTATAGTAGGTAATTAAATTATTTAAATTTATTATTTCATGCACCCCTTTTGGTAAAATATGATCTACAAGTATATTTAAAAATTTTTAAAATCAGAATTTGAATAAATTAATTATTAAATGAAAAATGGGTATGAGCATGCTTGATGAATCACTCTGTACATGAAATTATGCTTACCTATATATTGAATTTATATTTATTATTAATAGACATTCAATACTTAATAAACAATATAAAAAATGTTCTTAATACAATACTTGTTTTTAAAATAATTACATTTAAGGATAAATGTATTTGAATTATAAAATATATTATATTGCTTTTAAAAAAATCGTACAATTAAAGAAATTAAGATACAAGTGCTGATAAAAATTAGGTAATGTCTTAAAATTTAAAAGAAATTATCGTGAATATTGTATTTAATTAACTATATTTTTATTGCACCAATATTAACCAAACATATTACATTTTAGAAAAATCGCTTTTTTACAAATTATACATGGATAAATAATACTTATTTGGATGCATACCATCTCTGAGTAATGGAAACATAAGAGAATCCTCAGCGCTATCGCCAAAACCATGAACTAATATTTTCGATTTTCTTTGAGGACGGAAGTATTTAAATATCGGTAAACATTTTTTGTCCATAGTTTGCATTTCAGCTCTTGTTGGATTGTCCCTATAAATTAATACATACAGTATAATTAATGTACATTGTTTCTGAAGTATTTTATTTTAGTTCTTAGGTTAGGTTTATTTGAACATTTGTATAAACGTTATAAAAAAATTAGAGTAGGATTTATGCATAGCTTTATAGGCTGCAGTAAAGTTACGGCCCCAAAATTCACATGCTTAAAAAAAAAAATTAAATACGAACTTGTAATATTAGTTATTTAGTAATAATTGAACATGAAATCAAATTATTTTCACCCACACAACTGAATGGTCCTATTAAGACCTAAAAAATTCTAAATCTGGCCCTAGATAAATAGTTAAATAGGTAGTTATAGTCTTGGAGAATATAGATAAATATCTAAATCAACGCTTATAATAATCAATAATTAGTAATAATTAGCTTATAATAATTAATAATTAGGTATCACAATTCAATCAATAATAATTAAAATATTGTTTTTACGTTTTATTCTAAGATATTAATTATAAATATATTTATTATCCAATAAAGTATTAGTTATTGAGTGTTAAGTGAAATAATTAACAATTGTAATTCATAATAAAGATGAAATAATATAGTTTTTATTAATTTTATCTTCTAAAACCATATTCATTATTACTTTAATAGTACCTACCTACTAACAATATTTAATAAAGTAAATCATTATAGAGAAACATATTATTACAGGTTGAATTTTTTCACTAGTATTTTGTTATTCTTAGAAGTATATATAATTACTAATTACTGATTACTTGCTTCATTTTTGCAAAAAGTTAGGTTAAAGTTAATGAAAATTTTTTATTTGTATTTTTACCTAATGAATAGTATATCATATATTTTTTTAATTACTTTATCGCCTTTAATATTTTAATTTATAAGATACCTTTTATATTTTATATTCATAATTTTAAAAATTGCTTTTTTATTATTAATATGTATAATATATATACATAATATTAGTATAAAATCTGCATAGATATATACTTGATGATTGTCAACTCCTAACTTTAAACGCTTATCAAAACAAATTTTAGATTACGCTCGTTTTTTTTTTTAATTTTAGTATAAATAATGAACGAGGAACATTCATAAAATTTTCTAGTTATTTACCAAGAATACATTTTTTGTTTTTAGTTATAAAAAAATGTAAATAAAATTGAAAATTTCAAAATATCTAAAAAATAATTTAGTAATATTACATTTTTACTTTTAACTCTCAAAAATATCAATTAGATTTTTTTCCTGCTAGAAAATATTTTGAAGTTGAAGCTTGAAGCATTTTTATTGCTTCCAAATTTGATAACTAACATATAAAAAAAAAAAACTAGATATTGTAAAATCAGTATAGTCATCATTTCCTTAAGAATCTGAAATGATAACGATATATTATTGATCCGTTACAAATTAAAAATATATACACAATTTAATTAAGTACCTTGTGTATAAATAAAATTTTATATTTTCGACTAATGGTTCTGCTGCACTATCTTTTTCTAATCCCGATATTATAGCCAATTGTGGATCACCTCGTCCGTTTGGTAATAACATCCACTTAATATCTTCATCGACTCGTTCTTCCTTCATTTCTTCCGTTACTTCATATTTTTTAAAACTTTTCTGTATAAAAATATATATTTTACTATTATTAAAATGTTTTTAGTTTATTTACTTAAATACCAGTTCACTGTGAGGAAGAAATATCAATAGAATTAGGTAAAACATTGTACATCAATTTTAATAATACTCCAACTGAAGTAATTGTCTTGAATTGTAAAACCAGAAAACCACAATTGTTTTTACCAGTTACACATTACACATATAGTAAGCACTTTTTATTGTATGTAAATGCTTCATATATTTTATAGATATGGTGACCCCTTTTATCTTATTCGTTTGTATACGTTCTATGAATATAACATATGTATATTTTAATTTTGCTTATAAAAGTTTCTAGTTTGTGATTTATTTTAGGTATCTTAGATAGTATTACCTATATTATAAAAAGTATCTAGGTAGGTAGGTACTATAAACGTGTTTTGAATGTAATGATATTTTGTTTGTGACCCATTTAAAAATAATAATTAACATAGTAATACAACTGATATCATGAAAAATCTTTACGTACTTATATATATTATTGTAATCTGAATGTCAGATTGTATAAATTTGGTAAACCATTGTCGTCATATGTATTGGCGGAGGGATAAAGGTAGTTTTCTTTCTTAATATTTAAGAATTTTAGAAAAATTATTTAATTTTTTGAATCGTTGAGATGACCCGATCATCTGAGGAAAGAGATGGTCTATAGGTATAAATATATTAAATATGATTTATTAATTTTGTTACTTTTCTTAGAGTATAATTTTATAATTTTTAATGTTATTGGCTGTTATCACTAGTTGTTTATATAATAGTTTCACATTAATGCTTACTGACAGAATACTATTTCAATTTTATTGATACTTATTTTATTAATATACAGAAGCATGTTTCACAGCAAATTTTGTTGGTTTGGCGCAAGGAAAATCGATGCTAAAAAAGAATATTGTTAGGAAATTTAAATAGTGAATTTAACGTTAGTTTTAAAATTTTGTTTTCCATTCTTAATGAAATAAAACGTTTGTATTTTTGCTAATTTGCAAACTTAGAAAATGCATTAATTTTATTTTCACATTGATCTCCTTGATGAATAATAAATAATATTATTATCCTTGATTTTTAACATTGGATAAAAATAAAAATAATATTAAGCACACATTTTTTAATATCTTAACTTTTTTTTATCAAAACTTTTTACAATGATTCAGTTGTGCACAATTTTAGTAACTATTATATATTTATAAACTTAATTTATATATTAAATGACCAATGTATGTATCTATCTACCGATTATAATTTAGTCATATTGCATCAGACATTGGCTGTTTTCACACAAGTAATATAATTAAATATTATTGGAATTGGTCAAATAATATCAAATTCATTCAAATGTAACATTGGTCGACCTTCTTACACTAAGTCATTTAAATACGTAGATACCTTTTCATTATATTCGAAAGAGATTATGAAATTTGATAAAATTATATACATAAAAAAGTATATTTATTAGCACTAGTATATATACGTATGACTTCTTTGTTTTTGAAAAATAACTATAGTCTAATTCCAAGACCAATTTTTCCTATTTCAGTGAAACCAATCATCTCAAAAGATTCTTAATAACCATGACACTTATACGTCTAAACGGTCACTTTCGGGTAGTGAATGTATTTTTGAGAACAAATTACAAATTAAATCCTTTGAATAGCAAACTTTTAAATTACAGATACAATTAAATCGACCAAATTTAAGAACCCAGTATTTAGAGGTTTTACTTTTTAGACCATCTTAAGGGTTATATTCAATTTATTTATTTATGTAGGTATATAGGTACCTAGTAAGTAATAAATATACTATCAATAGTTTATTAATATAATAATAAATTATAATTTATTGTTATAGCCTATAGGTGTAAATAGTTTTAACTAGTTATTACTGTACCTAGGTAACGATTTAAATTCGTTAATATTTTGGTAGGTATCTAGGTACTTAAAAACTACCAACCTAAATAGGTAAACATTTAAACATTTTACATTATAATAAACAGTATAAACAGTTATAATTTGCAGCTTTTATTAAATATAACTTGGGTGAAAGACCTTTAAAATCATTTTGCTCATAAATATAGAGCCTGTAGACTCGGTAGAGGTATCAACTAGTCTAAATTACGATTTATAACTATTAACACATATTAAGACATATAAAAAAATCAATGAGACAATAAATCAGTGGCGTAAACGTAAACAGAAATACTTATCTAAAGGAGAGGGTAGGATAATTTTATATTAAAAAAATAAGTATACAAAACATAATATACTTTTGTGTTATAAATAAAATATATTGTATATAATAATAATATATTTTTATTCGTGATTGTATTTTTAATTATAAAATTGATTTATAATTTTCTTATCAATATACTGTTTATCATACTATGTTATCTCCTCGTGTAAGGTAAATATAAAATAATACTAAATATGATAGTGTATGATGTACTTGCCCTACGGCCTACATACAACATAGTCACAGTCATTTAGTTCATATTACACACTACATTTATTGAATTATTGCAATGACACTGAAATGTTTTGTGGTTAAATTCATGTAGAATTTATGTGATAGAGCTGGCTTAGTGTTTGAAATTGATTTGCCATAAAATATAAATTTTATTATTTTTCACACACGTAATAATGGTAAAATTTTTTGAAAATAAAAGTTTATTCCCATTCAGATGGGATCAAGTGGTTCATGGTTTTTGGCATCGTTATCCTAATCCAGAGAGGTAACGTTTCAATTAGTTATAAAAAGTAATATATTAAATAATAAATATATGTTTTTAGTAAGCATGTATTATCTGAAGACGTGTTACACAGAGAAGTGAAAGAAAAAAAATTACATTCTATTAGATTATTCACAAAAACTAATAAGTTACCAAAATGGGGTGAACGTTTTATCAATACAAATGTTGTAAAAATTGTTGAAGAATCAATTTTAGATCCTTCAAAAAAGACATTGGTTACTTATACAAGAAATGTCGGATATGCAAGTGTTATGGTAGGTATTTGATTTTTAATATTTATTAAAGACCTTGAACATTATATTAAATTACCAATAGCTTAAACAAAAACAGTTTGTATATAATATTATATTTTCTGTTCACAAATTTATTTATTCAAGATTTTATGTAGTTTTTCTTGAAAAACGTTCTAACATTAATATTAATAATTTTTCTTTTACAAACTTTAGTTAAAATCTTAAAATATTAATAAATGTTTAAGTTAATTATAAATAAACTGATTCATGTTTTGTTCATTCCATCATTTGATTTTACAAAATATTGTCTATGTATTTAAATATATAAGTACATATTATAATATAATATGTTAATATTGTTTATCATATTTAATTTTTAGGGTGTGACAGAAAAAGTTGTTTATAAAGTCAATGAAGAAAATCCAAGTACTACAGTTGCAGAGAGATCAGTGTGGATTGAATCAAATGTGTATGGAATGTCTAAAGCTATTCAAGCATTTGGGATGCAACGATTTAAAGTTAACAGTACTAAAGCAGTTAAAGGGTTTAATTATGTACTCAATAGTATGTATGGTAGTAATACTTCAAGTTCATCTGGTGTATTATTACATCAGAAAGAAAAATTAAAGGATGCTCTTAAACAAACAAATTACAAAACTGGAACTCTATATGTTCAGTAAGCATAAAATTTTAACTTTTAAAATACTATCAGTTACTCATATATTTGAGTTAAAAATTAAGATAAATATTTTTTTAACTAGTTTGTTTCATGTAAATATTTTTTCTTATTTTTCAAATTGTATTACAGTTAAACCAATTCTTATTGAGATTTCACCAAAATTATTATGATCAATAAAATGTGGTAAGTACGTTTTTGTATAATTAACGTTTTTATGTTTAGTTAATTTTTAATAGTGTTAAATTTATATGATTATAATAATTTAGTGAAACATATAAATCTAATTGAAAAATGTATATAATAACAGAATGTATATTAATATGAATTAATATTTTTTTAAATTACAACTAATTAACTACAATTATTGTTTAAGGAAATTATTATTTTTCATTTAAATATCTAATTTCATTAATATTTGAACTTCAAATGCTTTTATAAAAATTTTGCCTGCTCATTAATTTAAAATTATTTTAAGAAAAATTGAATAAAAAGCCAATATTACATTTTCAAGTCTTGGATATTAAAATTAAAAATTGAATTAATTTTTAACAATGAAATAATTTTCAGATTTTTATGATTTTGGTGTAATATGTTATAAAAAAACTTATGTGAAATTTTTAGTTACATTATTAAGCTTTTTAACAGAGAAAAATCCTCCTTCACTTCCCCATAGTCTAAAATCCTGACTATGCCAATACATCAAAATACTTAATTACATAATATAGATATAAATAAAAAGTTTATAATATAACATTTATTTTATTATTATTATTATTATTCAATTTTTGTTATACTATATTGTATATAGAACATGGCAGTTGCTCCTTGTAATGTTCAAATAGTTTTCTTAAGTTTTTGTTTATAGATTTTGACAACTTATATTTTTGAACCCAAAGGGTTATATTTTCTAAATTTTTGATTTTTACAATATTTAATAAATTGATGATGTTAAAACAATATTTTAGTTATAAGTGTTTATAAATTTTATTTAAGGTTGGAGTGTTAAATTACTCTAATATTAGGGGAATGGCAATAGGCAAGGTCGTTTAGATAAATATATTATTATAGGTGCGTGCAAAAATAAATGTTCTGTATTTTACACACTAATATGCATTTGTATATGTTACGTGTTTTGATATCTCTAATGCCTATTAAAATTATAAGTGCTTCTATTTTTGACTTTGAAGGTATTTTTTGTCAAAGAATCAGATCTAAAAGGTAATTTATAGGTCAAAAGTAAAACTTCCTTTTACTTTTTAAAATAATTCAGAAAACAAAAAAGCCATAAATTTATTTGTACATTGTATTATATCAACAAAAAAAAAATTTCCTGAGACTGGAAGAACTTCCAAGCCTCGTTAAATATCTATTTTTTGATTTTGAATTTAGATTTGGATAACTGTATTATATAATTTAAAATTCTAAAAGACAACTTTCTGCAACTGGCTTTTAACTTAGATTTTTTACTGTATTTAAAATGATAATTTATGAAAACAGCTTAAAATTGTTCTTTTTAAAGACATATTTTACAATTTGAGATTAAAATACTTATAAAACATTTTTTAATTACATTTTGTTTTTTGTTTTTTTAGTTAAAATTAAGATTAATAATTATTACTTTGAATATTTTTCAAACTGTACTCTTCAAAAATCATCTAGAAATTGCCAATTACATGCTAATCATTTCAAGAAAAATTTAACAAATGTTTGATAATTAGATTTTTAACAAAAAAAACTTGGAAATATTTTTAAAATCAAATTAAAAATTTATGATTTGTTCAATACTTATTAGAATAATTTCTTATAAGGTGTTTGGACTTATATAATTATTGATAATTTATAATTAAAATTGATACTGTACATTTCATAAGTTTTACCAACTGTTTTTTACTTAATTTAAAATAAATGGGAACCGCTAATATCAAAATGTTTTATTTTTATTTTATAATGCAAAACTAGATTATATAATTACAATTCCATGTATTATAAATATTATAATAAAATAATATTTTATGTTTTCTTTTTTAGATAACATAATTATGTATTCTTATCAGTTCAACAATTTTTGACCAGATTAAAACACTCTTCAAATTTATGTGGTTACTATCAACTTTATAGTATTTTATTAAAATACAGTATGATTATTTCAAATAAATAATCTTTTTTTAGTCTTGAATATTATTAAAATGTTCATTTAATTTATATGTACATTATTAAATTTGTTATCCAATAATTTGTATAAGTGATTTAATTTTAATTACATTATAATTCTATAATAAATTACTGATGTGATTATTTAGACGAATAAAATGTCTTCTATGTTTAATCTTTTAGTATTGTACACATTATTTTGTAATAGTTCTTTATTGTTTTATTATAAAGTTTAAATGTGATATATCTATTGTACATAATGTTTGATGGTGGAAAATTTTTCTAGTTTTTTAATATAATTTATTTATTTAAAGATATTTAACTTTTAGATACCTAAGAAGACTCCCCTCCTATATGTTTTGTCTTCATATTACAAATGGACGACATAGCAGATTTGTGTTAAAATGTTCTAATTTTATGTAATAACTCCTAGTAATACAGATAATTAACCAATTATCAAACTTTAATGTTTGAAAATTATTTGTGCTTTCGCTTGATTTTTTACAATATTTTAATTTTTTAGTAAGGTATAATTGTAAAATATTACGATTTAAAAATTCTCATAACTTGTTTAAAATATAAAAACCTATTAAAAAACACAGATTATATTCTTACCTCTAAGTTTGATAATAGATCAGTTTAATGTATTATGTATTGTATGTTTGTAAGATGGAGACAAACACGTGGTTGTGGTTTCTTCTTAATACAAATATTAAGAATAGATATGATTCTGTTTTTATTGAGATACATTTAATATAACTGTTGAGAAATACTCAAAATTCAGTATGAGAGATTTTTAATAGTGTAATGTAGATTATTGTGTATTTTAGTAAAATATTTAAAATATCTGAATTTTTTTGTAGAGAAATGTGACCTACAAATGGACACTAAATTGGAAAGATAAGAAATTTAAAATAATTACTCAAAATAAAATTATATGTAAAAAAGTTATGTATGGTTGTGAGCTTGATTACTCCAAGCATTATGTTTTATATTATAATCAATACTAATTATAAAGTTATCAAAACATTTCAAAGTTATAACTTAAAATAATTAAACCTATAACTATTTTTACTTTTTTATGCAATTCTAAATGAAATCTATTTACTATTGGTTCTTATTAGGTAATATTTATCTAAATGAATCAATTTTATTTCATAAATCTATCAATTTATTAACTAAAAAACTTTATCTTTTAATTCTGCTCATCTATAGCAAAATACCTATAAAAAAAAGAGCACACTATATTAATAAATTATCACAAATTGTTGCATTGATTTATTTAATACATTGATCATTTATATGAATGATCATATTGATCAGTCAGAAAACATAAAATCTATACTTAATCCTAGAACAGCTGGTAAGGTATTTTTATTTTTATCTTTTATCGACACTTATAATTTTGCATAACATAACTTGGGTTTATATAGCCTACAGGTTCAATAAAACATCTATATTTATATTACAATGTGACTGATATAAATATATACCCACTTTTACTTATGTAGTAATAAACTTTCGTAATTAGTTCATATAATTTTACCATATATACACTTAAACGAAATGTTTGTTTTATTTTTTAGTTAATATTTCGTACTTTTAAAATTTAATATAGATTATTCAAATTATAAATTGTGTACAAGATATTTGGGTATCGCATTTAAATTATTTTTAATTAAATAAATAATTTGTTAATATTTTGTCGGTGTGCGTCAGCTCAAATCGTTTAAATATACTGTCACAGACCTCAGTTGACATCATTCCAATTTCCTATTTTTTAACAGCAAACTTCTATTTATAAACTGCATTCTAAATACTATAATTATTATTTGATTTTTGTATCGGCATTGCTAAAACTTTTAATATTATAAAGTTCAACACGGTTGTAATCAGACAAAAATATTTGGTAATGTTAAGTAAAAATAAAAATAATAAAGTGATCATATTATTAATTCTATATCGAAAATAGGTAAGTATCTAGATTTTTTTGGATTATAACTATAACAAAGTAACCTAAATATTCTATATGTTATTTTTTTATACTAAAAATGTGTTTTGGTAAAATAGTTATTCGATTTCTTTCTACGAAATGTAAATTTAATTGGAGAGTAAGAAACACTACATGCGAATGGTTCTTATTTATAATAGGTACATGATAGTGCAGACTTGCTTGCGTGTAGGTACATGTAATGTATGTAAAAAAAATTGTATTGCTCTGTCATGATAGAAGATGACCTACTCTTTGTTGCATAATTAATCTGAGTGAATGACCCAAAAATTACTCGAATTAAGAACGGAAAATTTAAATAAAACCTGTTTTCGATAAAATCAATTTTGTTGTTTTGGTGTAGCTAGAAAACGAATTAAGAACTGTAGATGTTTGAAATTTTCAAAAAATGTTTATTCATTATTGATTATTAAGTTCTATACATGGTATAATTTTAAAAATATTTGGGGCTATTTTTAGCTATTTATACGCAATTGAAATTTTTAATTAATACAGTTTTTTTTTTCTAATTGTCAACAAAAATATTTTTGTTTTGTTACATTGAAAATGTAATACAAGGTTCTCCATAAGTTATTATTAATAAAAATTAAAAAAAAATTGAATGTACAAATAAACATTATATATATTATAAAACTACAAACATTTTTTTTACTAATTATTGGGAACATAGTATTAATATCTTACCTTAGTAATTAGTCATGAAAATTGAAGATTTCTTACATTTTTTTTTTTTTTAATAAATGTAACATAACTTATAAATAATCTTATATTAAATTTATAAATTTTAGACTTAAGCATAAAAATGTTTATGAATTTCTAACAACAAAATAATTTGTAATTTTTGAGATCTTGACCAATTTTATCAAAATTCTAATTTTCAAAGCTTATAAAAAATACTGTAATTTATCAAGAATTTACATTTGACCATAAATATTATTTTATAATATAAATCTTATTAATAATAAATAAAATACAATTATAAATTATATACCTACATTAATTAATTTTTAATTATAATTAACTGTTACTATATTTTTATTTTTACATTTACAAAAAAACACTACTTTTTAGTGAAATTTCATTCTCTATCAAAAACACTAATATACTCGTACAGTCGTACAAATAAATATTTTTATATAAATAATTGATGGTTATATTATACCATTTTATAGTATCATGTACATATTTTTAGATATTTAATTATTTTAATTCAGTAATTGAATAATGTGTTATAGTAAAATGTAACTTTCAACCATTGCAAATATATGTAAAAAAAAAAGCAGAAAAATTAATAAAATGCACCAAAATTACTAAAAATAACTATAATAATGTACATTGTCTCAAAAATTACATTGATAATGCCCAATGTTAACTTTAAACCTATCTTTTATACCTAAAAAATATGATCTTATAATATAATTTGTTATTAAATTGTTTTAAAGTTTTGTGATTAAAAATATAGACTATTATCGCCGTCAATTACTCAATCGACAATTACTACTACTAATGAGTACTAACTACTAACTAATAACTATCATCTATTGTCTAACAGGTGCATTCATTATTATATAACACAATATTATTCTTTCTTTAATAAGCATTTAAATTTCGATTGAAAGTTAATTAGATAAAGTTGAGTTTAATTTATGGAAATTTAAATAGATTTGATAAAATACCAATGGTTCAAACAATGCATTAGATTCTTTCGTAATATGTGATGAAGACATTTTATATAGCAATTTTATTATTAGTGTTGGGTCATATGATACGATATCACCATAGATATACATGGTAGAAAAATTTGCGGTGACACTAGATAAGTCACGTTAGACCTCACAATGCGTTTTCACTGGATGCGACAGAATAAATACATGTATCATATAATTAATGATGATTAATAAAAATTAAAAAAAATTGTGATGACCGCAGGCATAATAAATCTGTTTCACATAGACATGAATTGAGTGATAACGAAAAAAACACAAAATACTTTTAAAATAATTTGTATTAACATGTATTTTTTTTGAGATTGTATCAGAAATTTATCAACTGTAATAAACTTAAATAACCAATAATATTTTAGAAATTTTTCATTGAAATCTAATTAATTATAAAATCCATATCCAAATCCATGGGCGTAGCTAGAATTTTAATCAGGAGGTAGGCAGTTGACAACCTTTTTTTTTTGCTTTTTCGATTTTATAGTAAAACTTACACGTTTGGTATAAGAAATAGAATTTAGTTTGAAGCGCAAGGAGGGCACTTGCCTACGTCCGACCCTCACTATACCCATGTCTAAATCCATTGTTATTTTGCGGTAAATTATAAATATATAGAGTTGATTTCAATAAATAATAAATAATAAAATCTACTGTTTTTTTAAAATAATATTTTCACAATTTTTAATTTTTACTCCTTTATTTAAAAAAATAAACTAATTACTATCCTAAATCTTTAGTAACTTTTTATTTCAAAAGCATAATTAAAATTTAAAAATGTAAGTGAAATTATCTATCATTATCGGATAACAGTGGATAAGATTGAAGATTGAAATCCTAAGCCATGTATCTATATCATATGAGTGAGATAAAAAAATAACTTGGAATAAACATGGTAGAAACTATTGGTTATCATGTATTTTTTTTTTATTTATAATAAAAGATATTACCTATCTATTTAATTTAGAGAATAATAAGAGCTCACCCGATTTTGAAAACGTGTCACCGTGTATTACTAGTACGTATTATCATAGATTCTAATTATTTAATCTATAGTATTATATACTACCTAGTACCTAGGTACCAACTATAAATTAATGATAATATTTTATTTCTGATGAATGACTAAAGTTTAATGAAATATTAAGTTATCGGTGAGAAATGTAAATTTCAAGTTTAATAATATGTACCTAAATTTTTTTTAAGCTGAATCAAACAATATTAGGCCGCTTTCTAAGCGGCTAATACCTATTGG